TAGACGTACATTTAAAAGGTCATTAAATGGCACGGGCGGCGCGTTCGCCTCGTTTGGGCCAACCAGCTAGGCACGTTATGTCACTCGGCACTCGAGCTCAGTCAGGGCCAGTCCAGGCGGCTCCAGTTCCAGCACCAGTTCCAGTTCCAGCTCCAGTGCCACTCACGGGTGTATTTGCATTCTGTAAAAGTGCCCACTGTGCCCCACTGTGCCCCACTGTGCAAGTGCATGACACTGGCAACGGCGAAGGACGAGAGTCAAACAACAACAGCTAAACACCATTAGGCAGCCTTTTGGGCTCTGATGGGTTGCCAGGGCGCTCAGTTGCTCGGTTGCTAGGCTGCTTGGCTGCTTGGCCATGGCACAGCGCGTAGAGAACACTTAAAAGTGTGCTCGACAACTTGACATTGTTTCAAGAGCGAAAATATGATTTTAGCAGAGGATAATGGCCAACTGGAGCAGAGCAGAGCAGAGCAGAGTAGAGCATAATATAAATAACAACACGTGGCCCAACTCAACACGTATCTACTTAGGACTTGGGGCAATAAAAGTAACTCACAAGTATGAACAACATTCTGAGCTTGCTCACGGAGCTGATGCTCTGGAGGATCAATATTGGACATATATTCGTTGACGATTACTGAAGCCCCAAATTGATATTTGATGTTGACAGACTGTGTTACCTGGAATGACAAAGTATTGTGTTATCAACTCCAATTGGAGGAAAAAGAAGAAAGACTTAAAGTATTTCCTTTTAAAGCATTTTCATGCGCTTTTAATGGCTCGCTCTGCCCGCAGCTCTCAAGTGCGGCACTTAGGAAGTGGGTTGGCTGTCCATCTATATAAGTTGCGTTCCGAAAAATAAAAATGCAGCGTTTATGGTTCAAGTTGTGGACGTTGTCTTGGCTCATTTATTTGCCGTGGAGCGTTTACTTACTTGCGGACCTCAACAAACTGTAACACACGTACACCGCACAGCCCCAATTGCCGCTGCAAGAGCGCTGCTTGACCCCACCGAGAGCCCATTAACGCTTTTTTATCTGTTCATAAATTTTAATTTTGCCAAAATACTCCAAGTACGTGCCACGCCTGCTCCAGCAACCGACCCGACCGCAGAGACAAAGCCCCCAACAATTTGCCCAGTCCCAGACTCAGACTCAGACTCAGCCTCGGACTCAAACCCAGAATCGTGGCTTCTTGTGGGCTTGTGTAAGTTGGCGTCTCAGCTTGAAAGCGATATATATGTATATATGACTTGGTGGCTCGTCTTGCACTTTTTCTTCTCGCTGCCTGGCAACATTTTTATACCCTGAACCCATTGAAAATGGCAAATCAGGGTATAATGGTTTTGTGAAAAAGTATGTAACGGGCAGAAGGAGGCGTGGCAGACCCCACAAAGTATATATATTCTTGATCAGCGTGACGAGCTGAGTCGATATAGCCCTGTCCGTCTGTCCGTCCGTCCGTCAGTCCGTCCGTCCTATGAGTGCGTGGATCTCAGAAGTTATAAGAGCTAGAGAGCTGAAATTTGGCATGCATACTCGTGTCTACCATACGCAGTACGAGTTTGCTTTATTTTTTCGATAAATCATCAGATAACTTTTTTATCGAGAATAATCGAAAAATTGATTTTGTTTTTTAAGCCTAATTTGAACACTTTTAGACCTGGAGTTTTCAAATTTGCGTTGTATATAAAGTTAATCGATACAAAGATTTTGTGATTTACAGATTTTGGATACCACGCCCCTTTCGCCCCCAATTTGTAAAAAACGCATTTCAAATACTAGTGACTTGTGCTTTGGAATGTACACATATATTCACCATATGATTACACTCTAAAAGTTTCATTAAGATCGTATGTCTACAAAAGAAATTATTCAACAAAGAAATTCTCATAATATTGCCCACACTGCAGCCTAAGCGCAGTCGCTGCTTACTGCGCAGTTAGCAGAGCGCAGGCTTGTGCGTGCGTGTGGATGCATGTGTATGTACATATGTGTGCATAAAAGAAGTGCAGAATGATTAGAATATCAGCTTGGAGGGTTCAGGGTATCTCCTAGTCGAGCAGTCTCGACTGGAGCCTTATTACTTGTTTTTTCTCTTTTTCCTCTTTTTTTGCAACGTTTCGTTTCGAGCTTTGTCCTTTAAGTTTGGTGTGCGAAGGGATCTTAACCTTATTCCACTGTCGGCACATTCGAGGCGCTTGTGGGTTTGTTTATCGTCCTTTGCATCTCATTGAGCTCGTTCCTGTTTATGAACAGTCGCTCGTTGGAATTGCTTACTCGGTTTGTTAAGGGTGCCCGCCCAGTGGACCCTTGGCACCATTCTGCTCGAACTTGTACACACTCCCCCTCTCTGTCTCTCTCTGACCCTCTCTATTGCTCTTTGTTGGCCAATCTCGGGCTGAGCTATCCATATTTGCGCCTTGTGCGGCACATTCAGCTTTTCATTGCATATTTATCCTAATTATTATGATTTATATGAGCCAGGTGCATGAGATTACTTTATTTTTGATCATTTCAGTGGAACGTAAGATATGAGCTATCAAGAAATGTATAAATGTTCTACTATATATTATAATATCTAATTAATTAGTAAATGCATTGTGTTTCACTCAAATTGGCAGACAGACTCAGAGATGAAATCTTGTTTGCTCGACCGTAAACATTCAAGATGTTTCATTTCAGTTGTAGTATAGGTGTCAGAGAATAATTGAATTTATTTTCCAATTGTTTGAGGCCGAGCTTCTCTGTGAATGGAAATGGAACCAAATACCATTCGCAAGCTACCTTGAACATTTTCGTATTATATTTGCCACGGCCTCGGCCAACAAGCAACATCAGTTGGCTGCCAATCAATTTAGACTTGGCAATAATTAAGCAGAGCTCAGATGTCAATTAACTTCAGTTTTGATAGGGCAAGCAGTTGTACATAAAAGTTTATTATTCTGGTATCTTGTGGTATTTATGCGAGTGGCTTCAGCATTGCAATATACTTGAAGCAACAGTAAATAACGGCTATATCTTTGAGCGTGCAGAAAAATAATCAAATACTTTTTTTGCTGGGCTGTGCTGTGTGCTGGGGGTTGTGAGCGGAGGCAGAGTGTTAGGTGCAAAACGCACAGGAGCTATGCAAAGGACTCTAACTGAAAGCACTTAAGCCCATAAAATATTCAAGCCGTGAACATGTGGAAAAAATTACAGGAGCAACCGAGCGGAGAGCACAAAAAGCAGGCATGCAACAAAAGAAACAACGTGGAATAAAAGAATGGAATGGATGAGTGGACATAACAGACATTACAGCGACGGACGTGGAGGACGTGGAGGACGGGCAGGACATGGAGCTTGGGGCCCAAAGTCAGCCGCGCAATTTGCCATTTCGCAGCAGTGGCAGGAGGAGGACGACAGGCCCAAGAGTTGTAAGGCAGCCAGCCACTGATTGAATAAGGAGTAAAGGACAAGAGGCTGCCCGGGCATGATGAGCTCCATAAATGTCGTTCGGCAAGCGGAAACGGAAGCAAATGGCGCCGCTGCTGGGACAGCTAGCATTGTACGGCGGAAGTGGTAAAAGCAAAGGGCCCACTGTCCCCAGCTCCAGCCATTTGCATTTGCTCGTAGGTACCGACCCATCCACATCAACATCGACATCGGCATCTATGTCCTTTCTGTTTTTCCTCAAAACACGCACACGCACAGGCATCGACATCGGCAATCACTTCGATATGTGCGACCCGAAAGCAAAGTGAATTTACAATGGAGCTCAATAATATATGAGAGGTCTCTTATTCTCTTTAAATTTGTAAACTTCACGAAAACGTGATCTGATGGACCCTAAAAGTAAAGCTTCCTGCAACCAATAAACTAGCGAATATCTCATGTTCGAACGGGCCCATAAAAGGGCTGTTGAGCACATGGGGGCAACGCCTGCTTCGCGGTTATATTAAAAGCGCGATGAGGATATTAAACATGTCCTTAAGCATAAAATGTCAATAAACGCAACGGGCCGTAGCTAAGCAGTTTACATTGGCTGCACGATGGCAACGGCGACGTCGAAGGCAACGGCGACAGCAAGGCGAAGCCGCCAGCTACACACACTCTTAGCCAGACAAACGAATGAGCTTCTTTTGCATCCTGCTTATAGTCGATACTCAGTATGCAAGGGGTATGCTGATTGGATATGCATTGAGAAGGAAGCCGCATTCCTTGTGCATCGAAAGGAAAATGTCGACTGCTAGGACAATTTTGTGTATATAAATATTACAAAATGTTATAAATTATTATATATTACAAATAGTTATAAATTATTTATATTTATTTAAATTTACAAGCTCTTAATTAAAAATGAAATTAATTACCTATATAAAATCTGATAATATTTTTAGATAAATGATAGTATTTTTAAAATATAATATTTTAAAAATTCGAGAATGATCGCACTTATAAATTCAAATAACTGATCGCCTAATAATTTTCAATAAAAAGCTCGTATAGAGGGTATTTGCTAGTCGAACCATGCCTTAAGCTGACGACTGGCTCTGACTTGCCTCTTTTTGTGCTCTTTCACATTGCTGTTGTTCTCTTTGGGTGTTCTTGAATTACGTTACTTGTGGCACTCGCTTAGCGTAAGAAACTGAAGTGCAGTTGGGAAAGGAGTCTGAACATAAAAATGTCACATGGATAGCATAAGCAGATGGTAAAAAAATTGAGTTAGTGATAACATGGCTGCTTGAATCTGATAAGCACTTGAAGTACAGCATGTATGCAGATTTGTTGGGCTAAGTGGGCAGAAATATACCTAAGATCTCTGCGTTATAAGTATGCGTGTTGATGTTCGAGTATTTAAGTCGGGTAGATACGAGAAGTATCAATGTAATTGAAACCTTATCAGCAGCCGTAATTGAAACCTCTTCATTGAACTCTTTGAGCTTGATTGTTGCTCTATTCTTTCGACTCTTATCGCATGCCCGAATATTTTATAGAAGGTTACAAGCGACGACTAATTGGTTCTTCGCAGTGAAACGCCAACGTCTGAATATTCACATCTCACATCTCTCGGCTAGTTGCTTTGATAACGCCAAATGGAGTAGTTGGAGCGGCATGACAGGTAGAGAATCCGAAGCGAGCTGCGTGGCGCAAATGGAGTGACTAAAATTCTTTTACCTCCAGTCTCCAGCCAATGGTTAAGGGCCATTCTCTTGGCCGTGCAGCTGTGGCAAGTGTGCCTGTCCCTGTCCCTGGAACAACTCTGCAACTATTGGCCCGGCAGCGGCTACGTTGGCGACCCCGGAGACTGCAAAAGCTGGGGCTATTGCAAAAATAATAAGCTTGCGGCTCGAGGACACTGCCAGGATGATTTGTATTATGATTCGCTGTCTGGCAAGTGTGACAAAGCCCATCTGGCACGATGTGCTCCTCAGCACTGGGAGCTCTGTGCAGGGAGACAGAGCGGAGAGTTTGTGGCCGACCCGTTGGACTGCAGAGCATACAATAAATGTGATAACGAGGGCAATGATGATGGGCTGAGGCTCTGTGCCGAAGGCTTTGTGTTTAGCAACAGGCTGCAGACATGTGTTTCGAGTGCCAACGGATGTCCACAGGAAACTTTTTCCATATGTGCCTACATGCAAAGTGGCACCACCGTCGGCGACCCACTGAACTGCGGCCTCTACCTGGAGTGCGAGGGCGGCAGAGGCACGAGGCGGGCCTGCACCGGTGCTCGTTATTACAACTACAAGACTCTGCGCTGCCAGCCCACTCAGCCCGAATACTGTCCAAATGACGATAGTAGCTACAGGCCCGTCAGGCACCCACCTCCGGCCGTAGACGTCTCGGTGTGTGCTAGGTTTTACGATGATGACCACTCCGGCATTCAGCTCATTTCGGATGGCCTGACTTGTCACGGCTACTACCAGTGCAGCTCAAAACATTTTGTCGGCAAGTGGCACAGCTGTCCACACGGCACACACTTCCAATGGTGGAGTCAGAGGTGTGTAAGCCCCCAAGCCTACAGCTGCCCTTACGATCGTTGCGGTAATCTAAACTCGACTTTTGTCACCGCAATAAACACAGGCTGCACCCAATACATTCACTGCTACAATCAGATATCCCAGAACATCATCCAGTGCCCAGAAGCCTACCCCTACTTTGATGAGCGTGGAGGTGTCTGCAGCAAATACTTTCCAAATTACATTGTGTGCTACATGGAAAACTAAAGTGCTACTTCTTCTCTTTAATAAATCCCAAACATTTATAATAATTATATGCCTTGCTCTACAAAGAGACAATGCTGAGATTACTCCTTTTGCCTTGTTCTGGTTGCTTAGAGTTCTTGGGTAGACCGCAAAGTTAATGATTAATTCATTCATTTAATATCTCAAAGGAAGTCGCAAGCAAAACATGGAATGCCCAAAGGGCAGAGACCGAATCAGAATCAGCAAATAGCGGCAATGAATCCGTAGACCAAAATTTATGCCTAACCAACATTTTCAGCGTATTTTTCACACTCCCATTTTAATGGGACGTAGTTAGGGACGGGCCCCAGCTGGCGCTCAATGTGTTTTGAAGGACTTTCTTCTTTTTTGTTTCCATAATTCCGCGCAGCTCGCGCAAAACTGTAGAAGATGCACAAAAACTTTAACAATATTCGAGGGTTGTTAGTCAGCTCACCAAGGACTTTATACTTTTTCCTAACTCATAAAGTGGCTTTAGCAGGGAGTGATTGTTCAGCAGGCGACATATAACGAATTTAAATGATAGCGGTAGAAATAAAATTATATAAAATTGTTATGTACTTATTTATATATAAAATATAATTTTCAATTTTTCAATTTCAATTTCAATTTAATTCACTATTTGTTATAACTACATGATTTTGTGAATGGTATTTTACAATATTTTAAGAGTTTAGGCTAATACAAAATCCTTTTCTGCTAAGTTATTTATTTACATACAAAAGCATCATTACTTATCTGTATAATTTTACAAAAGAAATCAGTCTAGGAGAGGCTCCCCTGTAAACAATGAAAAATAGAAGGTTATACATATAGTCTGCATATACGGTTGGTCCATATGATACATTTGATTTATGTACCCAAAATGGTATTGCTTTGCGAAAATAACAATCGTAACAATCGTGTGTCATAGTCTAGTCTGCTTTCAAATTTGTATTTGAGGACCAACACGGTCGTAAATCAAAGATCGATTCGACTGCGAATATACTCAAACGGTAGCACAGATGCATACATATACATACATCAACATATATGTAAGTTCCTTATGTCTCTTAGATGTACAAGGTCGAAACAAGGTGTGCAAATGTTACATTTTTTGCGCTTCACATAAATTTCTCATGTTTTCGGCTTAACACACTCGACGGCCGTAACCGTAGCGACGGAGACGGAGAATGTTAAGTACGAAGATAAGTGGAGCGGGGCAATGGCTGTAGCTAACCATTGTGGGCTCGACGAAACGGAGCCAAATACACGATGAGTCATTGAATTATTATGATTGACTTTTATTACATGGAATCGCAATTTATTTTACTTAACAACCAGCAGCCAGCGAAAGCGAACCAAACGAAACAAACGTGGCCCAAAGGCGTGCCAGCAACAAGCGTGGCCAAAAAGCATTACCAAAATTTGAATGAAAAGTTATAAAGAAATTACGTTATTTATCATTCGTAGTGTTGTGCAGCTCGCGACCGAAGAAAAATAGAGAGTAAGAGAAAGAGAGAGAAAGGAAGAGTAAGAGAGAGAGAGCGCGACAGAATGGAAGGGCCAAGACAGAGACGCGGCCGACCCAACGGCAACCCAAACCGTTTCCGTTTCCGCTCATTTATTTGCCTGACTGTCAAGCTCACACACACACACACACACACGTGGACACATGAATACATATACAAACGCATATTTTGCCAGAGCTCTGCGCTCTGCTGGTTGTAGTTTATACACTGTTAAAAAGTTGAACTTCGCGCTGGAGGAATTTAAATTTATTGTTTTGCGGTTTTATTGAACGACTCCGGCAGCACCTCAATCGCCGTCCGGCGATTCACGCCCGTGCACTTTATCACGATCCTGACAGTGGCTTGGCCAAAAATTAGTTGCCGTTCGGCAATCGATGGCCATTTGATTTACTGCCATGGCAAGATTGAACAGCCTAATTGCTATAAAATTGGGCGTGGTCGCTGTGCCAGCCACGTAAAGGTGAATTAAAGGTAGCCAAAGTGGCAGCTGCTTCTGGACTCGGATTACAAATCGAACAATCCCTTGCCAAACACTTAACCGTTCTAGATTTGGCCCTTAGCAGAGCAGTTGAATGTGTACCAACTCTGCTAGTATCGGATGACAATCGATTTAAGCAATTTTTGTGATATAAAAAAAGATATTTGAAACGCCAGACAATGACAGATGAGTCGTTCTACCTTGTACATACCTTCAGAAAATAATAATATCAATGAAATTTCACAGGAAAAATACCAAAAGTGAGAAACGCTTAAAATGAATTTCATTTTTTTAACATTGTCCAAGTAATGAATTGGTTCTTCACCTTTTCGCTTCTTACTGGGAAAATAAAGTAAGTTGGACTGATAGACTAAATGGGGATTTAATAATGAATCAAATAAGTTTGAATATAGTTCGTTTAGCTAGGAGTAAGTGTCTTCACAAAGGGTTATCTAATATATTATTTAAGCTCATTCAAATAAAAGCAGCTAGCTTTAAAAAAAAAAAAAAAAACATTAAACAACAGATAAAATTTCCACAAGACTTTTGCACCTACATATTTGGATAAATGAAACCAACTGACCTTACATATAATAGCAAATAAAATATTATTTTCATCTAATATCATAATTCTTTAAATTTGTTTCTTTAATCATTACTAATATAAATTTAGTAGAAGATCCTCATAAGCTAATTTCAGCTAAATGAATTCAGCTCATGAATAAATTTAAGCTCATATTAAATACTAAATGAATTTAATTTATATTCAACCTGAATGTTATTAATTTTTTTTATTAATATTAATATCAGTTCCGTAAAATCAGGTGAAATTTTAATGTTAATTATAATATAATTAATTAACTATAATTTCAAGGAATTCAATTTTATCAAACTCACCAAATAATTATCTTTTTCAAACTGTTAAAATTCCAGTCGAATATCTGAATCATATAGCTAAATCTAATACACAGAGAGTGTCTGCTGGTCAGGCACACCCTAGTCGCAGCAGTTTACCTTGTCCTTGAATTTCTAAGGACGCACACTTCAGGCTTAGCGTTGCCAGGGCCAATGGCGCCAGCCAACGGTTTAGCCAGCCTAACAATTCCTACAATTCTTAGCCGTGGCACTGCCTTCGCCCCGTGGCACACAGTGAGGCTTTTGTTTCTCTGTCTACCACCGGGCGGATTAGTTGGTTACCTTGGAATGAGTTGCTGTCCGTTTGCTGCGAAGTTTCATTTTGCTTTCCTCTGCCCACATTACGGTATCGGGCACTGGAGCCGTTCGTGTTGGTGGCTGTGTTGCCAAATAGCTGTTTGCCAGATGCTTATGCCTTCGTTGTTGACATTTAGTTGACGCTCACAACACAGCGTCAGTCCCCAGCCCCGCCCGCCCTCCGCAGCGGGTGCTGTGCACTTCCGGCAACAGGCCATGTAATAGATCATCAGGCGACTTTGTTTGCACTTCGCCACTGAGCCCCGGAGCTGTCTCTGCCATCGTGGCATCCTCCGACGTTCCATCGTGGCCTTCGTCAGACTGGCGTTGATTGCTCGTCCTCAGCTGCTGCGCTGAGCTTTATTATTGCAAGTTAGAACGGCAGTCGAACCCTCCCGCACCCCTCGGCCCCTCGGCAGCCCCTTCGCTCAACTTGCACTGGCTTAGACAATTTTTGAAAGGTTATTTCTCTCCAGCAGCAGCCGCGCTCCGTACTTTGTTGCGCTTTGCACTTCATTTGCTGTCCGTCCATTCCTCCTCATTGCTGCAATAAATATTGTTTACCCAGCTCCATCGTGCGCTGCAGCGCCTGGACAGCTATTTGTTATGTCATTCGGCTGCAGCCGCTGACATTCATCCAGCCCGAGTGACAGCATCCTGAAATATGGCCAAGACATGTTTCCATAAGTACTATATCGCTCTAAGGGGACACCAATTTGTTGCAGACACACATATCGCAGCGTGCCTCGGGTAATATTTTGAGTAAAGCATGAATCTCCCATTGCTTGGCTGCCAATGTGAGGTTTATAGTCTGGTTAACATATTATTGACTCATTCATGCACATATAATGTACGCAGATATCCTATATGTATTACCTGTAATTACCTGCTTAGCTCCGCTGTCCAATTAACTTTACATAAGTCCCATAATATCATTCAATGTTACCTGCTGAGCAGCTCGCTCAGACATCATTCCATGCCATTCCATCAGTACAGTCGTTGACGGATGTCTCCGCTCAGCCACCTGCGGCGCCAAATTTCCATTAAAACTTCCAAAAGTTATGAAACAAAAAATGTGGTCTTAAAAAATTGGTTTTCATTGACAATTTAAATACAAATTCCAAAGGTAAACAACAAACTTTAACGCTGGTTTTTCTATCACGGCAGCTGAAATACCCTGTAGATGATAAACAAGAAATAGGTGACCATATTCTATATATGACTAAATAGAATTTCAACTGCAGGAATATTTTGATTATTTGCTATGCAAGTTTTGATTGGAAGAAATCGCACGGAAAGTTTTAAAAGAAAAACTTTAAATACCCGATAGTAATAAAATCGAAAGGACAATTCTAAAGTTTTCCCAAAAGAGGCATAGAAAATCTCAAGGCCATCGGTTAAGAAAACGCAAATAATTCTTATTTGTAAATTGTTTATTATAATCCTCGCTTTGTATGAGCAAGGATTATTTGCGTCTGCCACCGGGCGGAGGTCGGAAAGGCTTCCGTCGGGACTTGGAGTCCACAATGAGCACAGACTGGCGCTTCAAGAAGTTGCGGGACGGCACCTCGTTGTCATCGTCGGTTGTGGCCACTGCGAGTGGAAGAGGCTGATTAATATTGACCCGATGGCATTGGCATTGGCTTGGCTCAGCTCGGCTCAGCTCAGCTCAGCTCACTTACCCACTGCCGGCGCCTGCTCAGGCGAGGAGGACGAAGTGCCTGCCGCTCGTTGCGAGCGCCCTGCGAATAAATTGTAGTAGCACATGGGCATGGGCGGCGGCTTCTCGCCCTCGGGCACGGATGGGGATTTGGGTGGCTCTGACGGATACACATCCTCCTCCTCGTCCTCTATGTCCAGATTGGGTATTTCGAGGGGTGGTATATCGTCCGGTTTGCTCAGCTCTTGGCAGCGTTTAATTTTCAGCTTAAGGATCTGATAAAGCTCAAATGATTACGATAGCTCAAGAGCTGCCGGAGTCAGATATGTTATTTACCTCTATTAGGTCCTCGTCCTGCGCCACATGTGCCAGAAAATTGGGCAGCTCAGCCACGGTGATGTGCAGCTTGCGCTCCTGCATGTCAATGTTGTTCTCGTCCACCTCCTGCACCTTGAATATCATCTCGCAGATGCGTTCCTTCAGGTATTTCAGCACACCCATGGACTTGTCGGCGGCATCTGTGTCCTTCTTGCGCTCCTCCTCCTTGGCAGCGATGTCATTTTTGATTTGTTCGATGACCTCCTGGTTGCTGTGTTTCAGAATCAGCCAATTATTCAAATGGACGCCTTTCGGGTCTGTTTAACTTACACTTCGCTCTCTTTGACGTCCGAAAACTTGGATGCCTCCAGCTCGCTGGCGAGCGCCTCACGTTCT